ACAACAACAACATATATGTATAGATATATATTTTGAGGGGGGCTCTTAAAATTGTTCAATTTCATGCACTCACAGAGTAAATCCCGGGAAAAAAGATTATGCCCAATCATCAAAAAAATATTTTAAAAACACATAGATTTAATATCACTAAATTTACTTCTGAGTATTAAAAATAGCATATATACCTGATAACGTCCAATTATTATTCTTTCATCCTGATTAATAAAGCACATTCTTAACTATAACAATTGCTGCATGATTCTTGTCATTTATTTTAGTTTTTATGAATCACCAATCTGTGCTTACATGAATGAAATGCTCTTTATCAGATTTTCATCATGATTGCAAATGCAATTCGGATTGGATATTTTCTGGAGTATGCCTCACTAAGCATCTGCTTTAGTTTTGCCTGTTTGTTAAACAATCTTCATAAGTATCTTGTGGTAGTTTATCCTTCACCAGATGCTCCTCCTCCAAATCATCAAGGCTTCAAAGCCAAGAGCAGAATCTGCCTGTTCCACTTATTCCCAGGCATGACCTCAGAAAATTCTCACTCACTGATGATCCCTACCACCTGCTGTCCCTCTCATCAGCCTGAATGCCTGAATGGTCCTCTTTGCCCATTCAACACATATGAAGATAAGTGACTGAACTCTATGCTGAAATTAAAAACAGAATAAATGACAATGATTCATTCCTTGCAATGAACTTTGTAGTGATTCTTATGTTGCTAATGTGGCAGTAAAAAGGAAAGTGTGAGCCTGCTCATCTTCTAACAGAACTTAAACAATACATATATATATATAACTGAGTGTTACAGAGATTCAATGCCTTGATTACAGTTATCTGTAAATGATTTATGAAAACAGATCATCAGAAGTATGAGAGAATAGGGCTACCAACCTGTGCACTTCAAATATACTTGTTCAAATGGGGCTTCCACCACTTTCTGATGGAAATTAATGAAACTATAAAACTGTACTGTCCAATACAGTAGCCACTAGCCACATGTAGTTATTTCAATTGAATTGTATTAGAATTAAACTCAGTACCTCAGTTGTACCAGTCATACATGTGGCTAGGAGGTATTATATTGTACAGCACAGATATAGAGCATCCTCTGTGGCACAGTCATTTTGGATAGCACCACTAAAGAAAGGTAGTATGGCACTGTAGAATAAACACTGGACTGTGAACTACAACTTCTATGGTTCAAAACCACCAGTTGCTCCTCAGAAACCCTATACAGGGTTGCTGTGAATCAGAACCAAGTTAACATCATTTAACAACAAAAACAGCTTCAGAGAAAAGAAAATAGCATTCAAACAGATTAGCAACCATTTGTTAATTATTGTCACCTACCCCTAGCAACCCATGACTTGTCTATCAGTTTATGGTACCGTGGTAACTTGTATATTTCTGTGATTCTGGAAGCTATGCTACTGGTATCTTAAATATAAGCAGGGTCAACCATTTCATATGAGCTTTCAGACTAAGAAAGACTAGGATGAAGGAGAGACAGACTACTTTCAGATAAACAGTCACTGAAAACCTTATGAACAGCAGTGGAACACTGTCAGACAGCACCAGATTAATGAATATTGACACATGATCAAGAGCATCAGAATACTGTCAAAAATAGTGCTGGAAAATAAGTCCCTCAGGTTGTAAGGTATTCAAAATATGACTGGAGAAGACCTGTTTCCTCAAAGTAGAGGTGACCATGATGACGACAATGGGGTAAGCTTTCGGGACCTTTACTTGCTGATGGAGCAAAAATTCAAAATGAGAAGAAACAGCTGTGAGCAACCATTAATAGCCAGAACATGAACTGTTTTAAGTACGAATCCAGGAAAATTGGAAGTCTTCAAAAATAAACTGGAATGCACATAGATATTCTTACACATTAGTGAGCTAAAATGAACTGGTACTGGCCATTTTGAATCTGACAACAACATAGTTTACTAACTGGGAATGACAAACCAAAGAGGAATGGCATTGTACTCATCATCAAAAAGAACATTTTAAGATCTGTATTGAAGTACAACACTGCCTGTGATAGGATAATATACATACACCTGGCAGGAACTCCAGTTAATACAACTATTATTCAAATTTATGCACCAACCACTAAAGCCATTGATGATGAAATTGAAGAATTCTACCAACGTCTTCTGAAATTGATCAAACAAGCAATCAAGATGTACTGATAATTATTAATGAATGGAAACAAACAAATTGGAAACAAAGGGAAAGGATCAGTTGTTGGAAAATATGGCCTTGGTGGTAGAAATGATGCTAGAGATCACATGATTGAGTTTTGCAAGACCAATGAATTCTTCACTGCAAATACCTTTTTTAAACATTATAACAGATGACTGACTAATCAATCCCATGGACCTGACCAGATAGAATACACTGAAATCAGATGGACTACATGTGTGAATAAAGAGACAGTGGAAAATCTCCATATCATCAGCCAAAACAAGGCCAGGGGCAAATTGTGAAACAGACCATCCAATAACTCATATGCAAGTT